TCGTGTTGATCCTAGGACTGTCCTAGTACTATTGTATTGATGCTAGGACTGTCCATGTCCTTTCAGTTGATGCTAACGCTGCTCTAGTCCTATTGTGTTGACGCTATGGCTTTCATTGTCCTGTTGTGTTGATGCTTAGGACTGTCCTAGTCCAATTGTGTTGACGCTATGGCTTTCCTTGTCCTGTTGTGTTGATGCTTAGGACTGTCCTAGTCCTATTGTGTTGATGCAAGTACATTCTTGGTCTTGTATTAATACTACGTCTATCCTTGTCATATTGTGTTGAATCTTAGACTGTCCAAGTCATATTGTGTTGATGCTAGGGCTGTCCTTATCATATAGGGTTGATACTAGGGCTGTCATAGTCCAATTGTTTGGATGCTAGAACTGTCCTAGTCTTATTGTGTTGATCCTAAGACTGTCTTTGTCCTATTGTGTTGATGCCAGGGCTGTCTAAGTCTTATTGTGCTAATTATATAGCTGTTCTTGTCATATTGTGTTGAAGCTAAGACTGTCATAGTCATATTGTATTGATGCTAGGTGTTGTCCTAGTTCTATTGTGTTGATGCTAGGAGCGGTTTTAGTTCTTATGTATTAATGCTAGGGCGGTTCTAGTCCTATTGTATTGATGCTAGGGCTGTCCTTGTCCTATTGTGTTGACACTAGGACTGTCATAGTCCTGTTAAGTTGATGTAAGGGCTGTCATAGTCCTATTGTTTGGATGCTAGGGCTATCCTAGTCCTTATTTGATGCTAGGGCTGTCCTAGTCCTTATCGTGTTGAGGCTAGCTCTGTTCTAGTCCTTATTGTATTGATGCTAGGGCTGCCCTAGTCCTTATGGTGTTGATGCTAGGGCTGTCCTAGTCTTTATTGTGTTGATGCTAGATCTGTCCTAGTCCTTATCGTGTTGATTCTAGGGCTGTCCCAGTCTTATCGAGTTGATGCTAGGGCTGTCCTAGTCCTTATTGTGTTGATACTAGATCTGTTCTATTCCTTATTGTGTTGATGCTAGATCTGTCCTAGTCCTTATCGTGTTGATGCTATGGCTGTACTAGTCCTTATTGTGTTGATGCTAGAGCTGTCCTAGTCCTTATTGTGTTGATGCTAGGACTGTCCTAGTCCTTATTGTGTTGATGCTAGAGCTGTCCTAGTCCTTATTGTGTTGATGCTAGATCTGTCCAAGTCCTTATTGTGTTGATGCTAGATCTGTCCTGGTCCTTATTGTGTTGATGCTAGATCTGTCCTAGTCCTTATTGTGTTGATGCTAGGACTGTCCTAGTCCTTATTGTGTTGATGCTAGATCTGTCCTAGTCCTTATTGTGTTGATGCTAGATCTGTCCTAGTCCTTATTGGGTTGATGCTAGATCTGTCCTAGTCCTTATTGTGTTGATGCTAGATCTGTCCTAGTCCTTATTGTGTTGATGCTAGATCTGTCCTGGTCCTTATTGTGTTGATGCTAGATCTGTCCTAGTCCTTATTGTGTTGATGCTAGATCTGTCCTAGTCCTTATTGTGTTGATGCTAGATCTGTCCTAGTCCTTATTGTGTTGATGCTAGATCTGTCCTAGTCCTTATTGTGTTGATGCTAGATCTGTCCTAGTCCTTATTGTGTTGATGCTAGATCTGTCCTAGTCCTTATTGTGTTGATGCTAGATCTGTCCTGGTCCTTATTGTGTTGATGCTAGATCTGTCCTAGTCCTTATTGTGTTGATGCTAGATCTGTCCTAGTCCTTATTGTGTTGATGCTAGATCTGTCCTAGTCCTTATTGTGTTGATGCTAGATCTGTCCTAGTCCTTATTGTGTTGATGCTAGATCTGTCCTAGTCCTTATTGTGTTGATGCTAGATCTGTCCTGGTCCTTATTGTGTTGATGCTAGAGCTGTCATCATATTGTGTTGATGTTAGGGCTGTCCTAGTCCTTATTGTGTTGATGCTAGATCTGTCCTAGTCCTTATTGTGTTGATGCTATGGCTGTCTTAGTCCTTATTGTGTTGATGCTAGATCTGTCTTAGTCCTTATTGTGTTGATACTAGATCTGTCTTAGTCCTTATTGTGTTGATGCTAGGACTGTCCTAGTCCTTATTGTGTTGATGCTAGAGCTGTCCTAGTCCTTATTGTGTTGATGCTAGAGCTGTCATCATATTGTGTTGATGTTAGGGCTGTCCTAGTCCTTATTGTGTTGATGCTAGAGCTGTCATCATATTGTGTTGATGTTAGGGCTGTCCTTATCTTATTTTGTTGATGCTTATGCATATATTCATGTAGCATTTCTACATACATATATACATTGTACTAAATAAAATTACAGGATGTCATTACAGTTGTATACATATGAGGTGGAATCTAAGAAATTACATACTCTAGAAAAATCAGACCGTACATAAATGTGCAAGTGCAAATTGCAATTTGTTTTTTTTGTTTGTGTGTTTGGATTTTTGTTTTTTGTTTGTTTTTTTTGGGGGGGTCCTTAATTTCCATAAAAGTATTTTTAACAACAACATCCCTTAAGGTGTACATTTAAAGGATTGTACGTGTATTCTATAAGGAATCTTGGATGTTTATAAAAATAAAGTACCTTTATATATATATAAACAAGTCTAAATTGAAAACAACGTTCAAACCTATGATTGCGTTGGATAAAACCGCAATTTTTATACGTGTGCATGCAAAACAAATTTCTCGATAGAGGGGTCTAAATACAACACAGACAACATTCTCCAAAAGACCAAAAAAGTTAAAAAGTATATTTTAACAAAACGCATTTGGCTAACAGGTCGAACAACAGATGGTCTTAAACCCTGCTTAATGCCATTGGCGATTGCCAAATAAACGGATCACAAGATGTTAAATCAAAGTACTGAAGTACTGAACATCGGATGACCACAAGTTCTTGAGGATGGTCAAAAGCACTTGTCTCAGAAAAAAAACAACATATCTCTTTACCTGAAACTGAGGTTAATGTACAGAGATATATTTTTTTTCTAGACAAGTGCGTGCGAGTATGATGAATAAATGACAAGAAATTCAACTTCACCGTAATAACTATTATATTGTAGTGATACAAATCAGTATACACTGATTTGTTGTTATATATTATATTAAAATAACAGTTACATATATATATAATTTGCATCCGTTTGTATATCATTCTATTCTACTGTTCTAATAATAGTGCAATGCAAGTGCATGGTGGACACTTTTCTGTAAAAATTCGATTTTTCTAAGATTGGATACGAGTAGGCATTCATATTTTCCCGCAAAAACAATTACAGAGTTACCGGTCCTGTCGCAAAACGTTCTTTGAGATATTCTTCCGCATGCTTTAACACAATTTTTCGGTACGTGTGCATTGATATTATCAATGATTTTTTTACTTATATATATATATCTAACTACAAAACATTTTCACATTATTAATTTATGTTGTAAACAAAAATATTTTTATCAGTATTCATTGAAGAGATGTATTTATATCAAATGACAAGGAATGTTATTTTGCACTCGTTTATGTGCGCATATTTATCATGTTTATAGATCGGTTACAAACCCAAAACTAATTTACATAATGGAAATCTAGGCGATAGCAATACATCGAATGACCTCAAGGTCATCGCGATGTAAAAATGGATCTTTTAAAATTATTAATTTAATACCAAACGGAAAACAATAAACTTGCGGAAAAGATGGTATACCGCTAACAAAAGGTGCAAAAATTAGTACACCATATCCGGATTTCGACAATTAATGTCTCTTCAGTGATGTTAGGGATCGAAACGATGTTTGGAGGCCATATAATTTACCTCAATTTAGGATAGACTCTTGAATTTTGAAGAGTCGAAATATTAGAAATAGGATGAACGGATCATATAAACCCGAAAGAAAATATAATACAAGCCCAAACGAAAAAATATAAACAAGTCTAAATTGAAAACAACGTTCAAACCTATATATGATTGCGTTGGATAAAATCCGCAATTTTTATACGTGTGCTTGCAAAACAAATTTCTCGATAGAGGGGTCTAAATACAACACAGACAACATTCTCCAAAAGACCAAAAAAGTTAAAAAGTATATTTTAACAAAACGCATTTGACTAACAGGTCGAACAACAGATGGTCTTAAACCCTGCTGACTGCCATTGGTATATATATATATATATACTAGTCAACAAAAGAAACGATACAAGGCAATGTATTTTACATATATAATGAAATTGGATACACTGTACTAAGGTAAATAATTGACCAATTGGTCTAATATTTACAGAGTGTTATTTTCTTACCAAAACCATTGATTTAAGACAAATACGCGAATTTATTTTTTTGCAATTTTTTTTATTTCAAAAATCTTATTTTCACCCAAAAATTCAAAAATCGAAATTAGAACTCAAAACTTTAAACGTAAACATGGTCTGCTTAAAATTTTGAATGCCTTTGCAGATATTTGAATACTTAATTCTCATCTTCGAAATTAAGTGCCGACATTTGTCATCATTTTCCGCAAAATAAATTTGACCCCTGTGTTCAATAACACTGTATTTCCTCACTTTCCAATTTTGTCAGATTCTTTTAATGATATGCATTTGCTTTACAAATGAATGTTTTTCATTGGATATAATTTAACAGTTTTTCCTATTTATTATATTTTATGATAAATTGGAGTTCAAACTTGTTAATCGTCACTTTTGTTGACTAGTTTATATCGCTTAATTTAAATATGAATATTTCTGAATCAGTGAAAAATTCAATAATATTATCAATATAATTTTCACGTCTGCTTTATACATAAACAATAAAGTATAAAATGAGTTTTTCATTAGGAAACTTTTTTGTTTTATTTGACGCAATTTCTAGCATTTCATGCCAAAATGATTTAACTAGATAGTAAACAGTGGCAGCACGTGAAAAGATAAGGTACGCAATCTTAGACAACATAAAAAAAAAATTCGTATGAATATAAATAGATCTACTTAATCTTTTTTTCAACAAAACGTCTACCGAGAATGAAGAAAGGAGGCAGTGTGAACGCTACAAACTGGAGACAAATCGGGAGCAACGTAAAAGACGTGTTCCGATCGCCTACGTTCCTAGTTCCGGTTATTATATCAGTAATTTTGTTAGTTCTGTTCTTTTTACGGAGATACATTAGGTGGACGGTTAAATGTTCCAGTAAAAATGACATGGAAGGGAAAACGGTTATAATTACAGGTTAGTTCTTCTCAACATTTTTATTTTAACATATAAAAGGTGACTAGAAACTTTTAATTACCATGCGTGTTTCCTATTAGCTTAACATTCTTAAATGAAATTTGTACCAGTATTTCAAAAATAATTTCTTTGCGTTTTTTTTTTTTTTTTTTTTTTTTTTTTTCCTTTCTTTCTTTTTTATCTCTCTTGCAGTGACCCCTATTTCACAATTTTAAAATCTAAATTTAGTCTTTTCAAAAGCTTACATCGGTGTCCTAATTTCCAAATTGCCGGGTGGTAAGCAGATGTGCGTAAATGTCGGTTACCAACATTTTAAGATGAATGACGCTGAAACTGGTGAATAGGCTTTTTGTTTCCATTGAATTATGGTCTGATCCAAGAGAAAAAAATAACAAGAAGGCTATATGTCAAGTCTTATTCTATAAGAACAAACTATATTACACGAAGATGTTCATGAATACCTATATATATATAGTGAGAAAATTGAATCAAAGAGAAAGTAGAAAATAAACTGACAACGCCATGGCAAAAAAAAGAGAAAAAAAGACCAAAAGACAAGTACAAAACAAGAACAGTACACAAAACACAACATAGAAAACTAATGACTGAGCAACACGAACTCTACCAAAAACTGGGGGTGATCTCGTGTACTCCGGAAGGATTAGCAGATCCTGCGCCACATGTGGCACCCGTCGCATAGTATAATTTAGTTGTTCTATCATTATTATACATGTTCATTTAACTCTTGAAAATTGCAAATAATTTATACTATAACCATTCTTCATATTTTAAAGAATTATTAATAAAAAATCTCTTATACCACATGTGCTGCTATTACCATATATTATTTTATAAAGATAGACCAGTTATAATTAAATGTGGTACCAGATATTCTGCTATTGCTGTTCTTCATCTTGAAACTTTACGGAAAGTTTCAGGAATAAAAATCACTATATAGAACATACACTAAAGCTCAAATTAATCCATTTACAGCCAATCTGTCATTAAATATATATATATATTTATGTACTTAGTTTTATTCCAGCAAGAGTTCACCCAAAAACTATTTCTAAAGAGACAAAAAATCAAAGTGTTTTCTTCCGTAGTGACAATTTGAAAAAGACCGTTCTTCAATAATTACAATGTAAAAGTAAAGTTTTCTTCACTTATTACAATGTAATGATTAGATACCATGCACTGCTTGTAGACTGTTGCTTCCCTGATAGAGGGTAATATCACCCGCGATGAAATGAGCGTTTTGGCACTGACATTATTTATATGGGTCTATACTCTATAAAATAAAATTGGGAATTTTAGGATTTTCTATTTTATTATATCTGAATGATTTTGTCATAAGTTATAAATAAACAAATTTTCACATCTTTACCAAAATAACAGGGTGTCAACCTACCTGAATTGATCCCAAAATATTAATTTTGCCTTCAGTTTTAAATCGCTTTGAAATCTCGGATATAGTTAAAAATCATCACTTGTAATCTATATCTCCATTGTTTAACAAAAAGAACGAGTCTCTATGACTGCTGGAAAATACATGTACCTTTTTAAACATCTGTAACGAAGTCGCAGTGAAATAACATAATAATTTATTGCGAGAAATACTGTTGAATACTGTTCAAGGCTATAAGTAAGTAAGTAAGTAAGTAAAACTCTATTTTGATTCGGCATATTGACAAACGCATTTAACAAAAGCTCTAATGTCGTCCTGAATATGCATGAAATATTTGCCACTGGACGTTAAGCAACCAACAATCAATCAATCAAAAGCTCTAATGATCTTTTCACCGAATATTAAAAGGCTATCTTCCTAGAATGCTAACTATAAACAGAAGGAACATAAAACCCGTCTGAAAATAAAACCTCATCATAAACATCAACATGTACAGTTCCGAACATTTTCAAAATTCTATTAGTATATTAGTGTTTAGAAATCACAAATTTCAGTTACTATATATATATATATTTAGGTTATAGCATATTCACGGACGGGTTTTTCGTAGAGATAACATAACTTTTCGCTACTTAAATTCTGCAGGGTAAATCTTAGAATCATAAACCATAAACTATCAATTTGATTAGCTATAACTCATTCTGACTTCAAAAAAATGATGAAATATTATATCCTTAAATTTCTGTGTCTTCAATGTTGAGATGCTGGTAACTTAAATTACGCGCGTGCACTTTCTCTATTTTACATACCACCGTAAACAAATGATTGATTTCGTTATCTTTATCATCGATTAAGGATTGCATAAACATGTTGTCCCCGCTCCATCAGTTGACACACGGATTCTGTTAAGGATTGCATAAACATGTTGTCCCCGCTCCATCAGTTGACAGACGGATTCTGTTAAGGATTGCATAAACATGTTGTCCCCGCTCCATCAGTTGACACACGGATTCTGTTAAGAATTGCATAAACATGTTGTCGCCGCTCCATCAGTTGACACACGGATTAAGGATTGCATAAACATGTTGTCCCCGCTCTATCAGTTGACACACGGATTCTGTTAAGGATTGCATAAAAATGTTGTCCCCGCTCCATCAGTTGACACACGGATTAAGGATTGCATAAACATGTTTTTTTCACTTATATGTTATATGTGGGACTGGATGGTTTTTTTCGTTTTTTTTTTTTGGTTTTGTTTTTGTTTTGTTTGTTGTATTTATTTTGCTTATTTTTTGTTTTGTTTTGGGTTTTTTGGGGGGTGGGGTGGGGTTCATTTCTGTATTCTTTTATTCTATATGCTATTTTTCTCCATTCCCTTTTTTGGCCATTATTCCCTACTCTATATTTTTATGAACATTATTCTCTTTTGTGTAAACCCAATCCGGACCGTCGCGTATATTCCTTGCGCTACATGGCACAAATTGAGTTTATCCTTGGTTTAAACAATATTTTATTCGATAAGTCAAATCATGCTATATAATATAATACAATGGGATTCAGAAACAAGCAACATTGCTTATTTTAATCTGTCTCCAAAAGAATGTTGACATACAATATAATGAATACTTGGAGCATGCTCTGTCACTTGAAATATATTAAGAATAGTAAATACAAAAAAAGATTGACTATATAGTTTGAGAAAAAAGGGAGAAAAAAAAATAAAAACAAAAAACAAAAAACAAGTGATTGAAATGAGCTAAATGAAATGCAAGGAAAACATATAAATGATGCTTTCATATTATGGTGTGAATCTTTTACTTTTCAATATGTATTTTTGTACCAATACAAAAAGAGTACAATTTTCTTCTTCAGTTAAACAATCTGACCCAAAAAGCAAAATATTTACATCAATACGCTGCGGAAAATCAGCAAGAGAATTCAGTAGCACTTGGCGTATGTTAGTATAGTAAGGACACGTTAATAAAAAATGAGAGCTTGTTTCTATAGCACCACAACGACAATTTGGCGAATCCACTAAATTACGTAAAAATAAATCGGAGTTTAAAGCACTAGAGTTCATTCGCAAGCGTGCATGGAGAATTTGTCCAATGCGATTTCCAACATAATAATGTGTGGGAACCTTCTTATTTTGTTTACAAATATGTTTTTTAAATAGAAAGAGAGAGTCGCACTGTCTTATATTAAAAGGTATCTTATTCCATAATTTCACGGTTGCAGGGAAAAAGTATTCTGAATATAAGCGAGTTCTTGTAACGATTTCTAAGATATTTTGACGTTGCCTTGTATTATGGTTATGCCTACTTTCTACTAAACCTGGTATTTGTTCACGGAGATAACTAGGTGTTTTGTCATATATAATTTTGTGCCAGCGTATCAATCTATGATTTTCTCTTCGTTCCGATAACTTTTCCCATTGAGTTTCGACATAGAACTTACCAATATTCGTAAGTTTAGTCCCCCCTGTAACTATGCGTGCGGCATCTAGCTGGATATATTCAAGCCTTTGTATTAGGTTTACATTATGTGTGTCCCATACAACATCGGCGTATTCAAGAATTTGCCGTATAAAAGACATATATAGTTTTTCCAGAGTGAACCGATCGAAAACGTTTCTAACTTTTCGTAGAATATTAACCCTTAAATAAGATTTTTTCATTATGTATTCGATGTGGTCTTGCCAAAATCCATTATTAGAAAAATAAACACCAAGATGTTTGTGATTGTCGACTATTTTCAGTTCTTGGTTATTCATTTTTAAAGGGGGTGGTACAACTTAGTTTTTTTCCTAGAAATAATCATAGACTCTGTTTTTTTGGCATTAAAATTAACAAGCCATTTTTGTGACCAATTATATATTTTATCTAAATCATTGTTTAGTGTTTCAGCAGCTTCAATCGGATTATCAACTACTAAGTACAATGAGGTATCGTCAGCAAATAATTTAATTTCTGCATGAATATCTTCGACAATGTCATTTATAAAGATTAAAAACAGTAGAGGCCCTAAAATAGACCCCTGGGGTACCCCTGCATTTACTGGTAGCCATTCAGAACTTGTACCATTTATTACCACACTTTGGGATCTTCCTGACAGATAATTTTCAAACCATTTCAATAAACTACCAGATATTCCAGCTTGTTGTAATTTGAAAAGAAGACCCTTATGCCAAACTCTATCGAAGGCTTTGCTTATATCACAGAAAACAACCCTTATTTCTTTACCACTATCAAGAGCTTTACCAAAATCATTTGAAATATTAACCAGTTGATTTACTGCTGAGTCCCCCCTAGTGAAGCCAGACTGATTATTGCTAAGAAACTTATTTTGTTTTAAGTGATTGTAAACATGTTTATAAACACAACGCTCCATACACTTTGATATAACACTCTAGAGGGAAATCGGTCTATAATTTTTCACATCATTTGGTTTATTACTTTTGAGTTTATCCTTCCTAGCTTTAAATGTTTCTATTTAGTTTATGTGATATTTTACTCCAGATCTGTTACATAACAAGAGCAGACGGCTTAGAAGTTTAATCAAACTGAAGTAAAAAGGCTTCCTTAAATCTGAT